AGAAAGAAAGAAAGAAAGAAAGAAAGAAAGAAAGAAAGAAAGAAAGAGAGAGAGAGAGAGAGAAGAGAGAGGGGGGAAGAAAGAAAGAAAGGAAGGAAGGAAGGAAGAAAGAAAGAAAGAAAGAAAGAAAGAAAGAAAGAAAGAAGAAAAAGAAAGAAAACCCTACATTCAGGGCTGGAGAGATGACTCAGCAGTTAAGGGCATTTCTTCCAGAGGACCTGGGTTCAAGTCCCAGCATCCACATGGCAGCTCACAGCTGTCTGTAACTCCAGTTCCAGGGGATCTGACACCCTCACACAGATATACATGCAGACAAAACATCAGTGCACATAAAAATGAATAAATCTTTAAATAAAACACCTAAATTCAGTTCACTGTTTTATCATCATCAATGTCTGGCCCTAATGGCTACTCATCTCAGAAGGGAGCCTGTTTGCCAGTTGGATGCAATGGCACAGTGCAGCTAGAGAGCAGCTTCTGGATGTTCTGAGAACAGTGCCGCCTAGGCTGAGAGTCCACTTACACCAGGTATACTTTCCAAAAGACCAAAAAAGAAAAAAGCCATGTTCAAGGCTCACTTGGTCAGGAGAGACAGAGGAAAGGCAAACCTCGAGGCGGCTCTGCAGTTGGGGGAAGCTGTGGTTAATCCGCTCGCTCTACCAGCAGGTGTCACAACAGCCTGTGGAAAGGGCTGTTTTGCAAGAAGAGCAGAGAATCCGCCCAGTCACAGCCCCACCTCAGAAGCCCCCGGTTTTCACTCCTGTTCTGAGGCAAGAAGCTGGCCCGGCCTTGCATTGGGCATGTAGCTTCTATGTGCTGGCTTTACATACACGAGTCCTGCCGCCTTTCCTCTGGAATCGCAGCCCTTCCAGACTAAAAGCTAAACAAACATCTGAAATCAGAAAGGCTTCCAAAGAGGAGAATTCCCAAACACCTCCTCAGCGCTCAGAAGTTTTAGAATTTAGATGATTAGATTAGGTATACTCAACTTGCATTTCTCAAGAAGCATTCTAAAGTTTAGAGCTGGTTCAGAATCTTTAGAAATGATGATCTATTGTCTTAGAATCATTTTCCCTGTATTCCGAAGCCAGATTCTTAACAACCATGAAGTCTCCTTTTGCTTCCTAAGCTGAATACTCACAGGATTCTGAAGTAATCTTGTTTCGATTACAGCATTTGTTCCCTTCTTTAAAGAAGTTTTTCCATTCTCACAGTCCAGTTACTCGGGCGGCACCTTGCCCAGGTGTCACTAGAGATTTCTGCGACTAGCAGTCTAGGTCCAGACTTCAAAAAAATAAAAAGACGAAAAAAAGCCATCGCAGTCATGAAAATCAATCCGTGAAGATTTGGGGGCAGCCGCCCTTTTTCCTGAGGCTTTCTGCCCCTGTCTCCTCCTGCAGGGCTCTGGGGGACTGAGAACTGTTCCGTTCCTATGCCCAGCATTTGTAAGAGAGTGAAGATATGGGTCATCGAGAGGGAGAAGCTGCCCACACAGCATGGCACGTGCCCCAGCGGGTGGCTTTACTTTAACCATAAGGTAAATGTCTTCCTGCAAAGTCGCCTTTGTGTCTCCTCTGTAGAACTTCAGTTGAAAAGTATTTAAAAGTGGGGGGAGGTTTTCTTTGTTGTGATGGTGGTTTGGTTTGGTTTTGGTTTATTGTTTTGTCTTGTTTTTTAAGCACTAGTTATTCAAGGGACCTGAAAGTTCCCTGTCACAATTTTCGAATGGTTTTGGGAGCTTTCCTTTTCGTGGGGGGGAGGGGGTGGGGGGGGGGGGGGAGGGGAGAAGTGGAGAAAAAGGTTTTGTGTAAGGTGGCCATGCCTGCATGCTTCATTTATAAAGTTTTACTAGTGAATGTCGCATACATACATAAAGTGTATGTGTTTGTGCCGTGCATGTGTGTGTTCATGTGTGTGTGCCTGCATGCCCATTCATCTAGGCCCTGCCTGCAAATAAACTACAAACTTTAGCGAGCCCGTGTTCCACCCCCCATCACCCCGCCCCGAACCAGCAGGACCCTACCTACCTGTAAACTGATTAACTAATAGTGTAATTTGGTCAGTGTCATCTTGAGATTCATAAAGCTGAGCTTCAGTGCAGAATCCAATTGAAGAGGGAAACCTGGCTGGCAGGGACGCTGTCAGCCAGGTTTGTGATTTCTGACGCTGCCTTCAATTAAGGCTTTGCCTCCACTCCTTACGTTTTGTAATAAAATAACTTTATTGGCCTTGGGTGGAAGTGATGAAAATAAATCCCAAACTGTAATTGTTTAACTCTTAGAGAGTTAAGAAGTGAAACGGTGTCATAATTCCATACACTAACACGAAACTGCTCTTTAATTGTGAACAACCATTGTAAAATTCCAAGAATTCCGTCACACTGGCTGCCATGTTCTTCTACACCATCTTGCTGTGAGTGTTAGCTCAGGCAGTGAAGACACCTGAATTCTGTACATATATATGTGGCTACCTATATGTGGCTCGTTTAATTATGGTGAAATTAAATGATGGCTCTCTTCACTTAGCATGGTATCTTTAAGCCTCAACCACGCTATGACACGTAACAGGATTTTTTTTTTCCTTTTTAAGGATGAGCAATATTCTATAGCATAAATGTTGCCAAAATTCCTTCCCAGGGGCCATATAAACATATTTCCTCCTACTCCTAAGATCCCAGAGACAAACAAAGGTATTATTCTACCAAAAACCATCCTGTAGAACCATTTGGTTTATTGGTTACCTTACAGAGTGTTGGTGAGGGTGGCTTAGGGGAAAGTCTTTACCTAGCAGTGATGATGTCATAGCTGCATGGATGGGGCCTTCTTCCCCTGGTCTTCCCTGGCCTGCATACCCTAGCCCCTCCCCCAGGCCACCCACAGTTGGAGCAGAGTGGTATCCAGCAGGTGGTATGAAGCACCTGGATGAACTCATACTCAGGTGAGTGTCTCACGACCCCTTTCCTCCCAGTGAGAGTAAACGATCAGTAAGTCCACCTGGGAGAATCTTTTGATGGGGGCACCGCTGCCCGGAAGATGGCAACAGCCTGACTCAGAAGACGTGACCACCTCTTGCTCACCCATCTGTAAATACTCACCGTCATGAACACTGAGTATTGCGCTCACTTCTGGCTGACTTTGCTGGGTAGCACCATCAATCTTTCTTACTTGACTGAAATTTTAAGACACATGATGGTATTTTTCCAGTCGTACATCTGAGACATCTGAAGTTTGTACAATCGTGTGACTTCTCTGAAAAGACATATCACATCAAAATTCAGTCTCAGGCTCAGGGTATAAAGCACCTGTCTGGCCAACCAAGCCTGACAACCTAACTTCCGGTCCTTAGAAACCCTGTAACACAGCAGATGCAGCAGCATGTTTGTATCTGATCCCAGCACAGGCTTCTACCTGGGCGAGGAAGTCACCAGAAGCTCGAGGGCCAGTCAGTGTGTGTGCACAGCAGTGAGCAAGAGAGATCCAGCCTCAAACAGGGTGGAAGGCATGGAGTGAGACTCAAGGCTATCCTCCGACAAGACAGAAGCATGGCCCTCCTACAGGAAAACACACACACACACACACACACACACACACACACACCTCATTTTCTTTTTGTTAAGTTGTATTAGATTTGTTTTGTTTTAATGCTATTTTTAAAATATCAGTACTACCCAAAGCAATCTACAGAGTCAATGCAATCTTCATAATATCCCACTGGCACTATTCACAGAAATAGAAAAAGAATAGTGCAATGATATACATCAGTTGTTTACATTTCCAAGTCCCAGTTTGCTTTCCTTTCGGAGATAAACCTAAAAGCATAATTGCTAAGTCATAGGCTGTTCTTGTTTGGCTATTTGGAAAGGTGACAAATGGATTTCCCCAGCAAATAAAAAATTTGCATTTGCATGTGTAATAGGAGGTTTCATCCATGTGCTTTTGGGGGGAAATGTTTAATTAAATACCTTGTCCATGTTTTAATTAAGTCATTTTTTTTTGTACTGTTGAATCGTAGGACTTCCTTCTAGTGTTATATGTAATGAATTCCTATCAGGTAAACAATCTTTACCCCTAATAATTATAATGATGTTTTCCTTTATAATTATAATGCCCGCATGATGCGTGCAAGATTATAATTTTGATAAAGCCCAATGTATCTACTCCTCATTTCGTTGCTTGTGCTTTGGGTATGACACCTGAGAACACAGCCTCCAGTCGCATGCCATGATTTTGGCTCAGATCTGAATTCTGATTGACTCGTCCTTCGCTATATGAGTGTTAGTGTCCTAAGGCTGTTAGAATAAATGCGTCCTGCTGTTGGTGGTTATGGACAGACACAGACAAATGCCTATCAAGTCTCAAAGTTTTGTTTTAAAACAGAATCAAGAGTCAAGTGTGTGCATCTTGAACTGACACTGGGCAATTGGGAGGTATAGATAGACAGAGAAGCAGAGACTAAGGTACCTGATCTTGTCAGTGGTACACCTCAGTTTCCTAAGGACTTCTTAGGCTCCGCCTCCTAAACGCCCACAGTACCTCCCAATGTGGCCACCTGTTTGAGGTCTTTCCAAGGACTGTAACTTTGATAAAGTTTCATTTATAAATGAGGTGGGTTAAGAAACATTTACAGAAGAGGTGGCTCAGCAGCCAAGAGCTCCTGTGGCTCCCTAGAAGACCCAAGTTTGGTTCTCAGCACCCACAGGGGGCATTTAACTGTAGCTCCAGCTCTGACACTCTCTTTTGACTCCTCAGGCACCTGTACTAACCTACACATAAAAAAATTAAGCTTGGGCAGAAGAGATGGCTTGGGCAGAAGAGAGGTTAAGAGCACTGGCTGCTCTTCTGGAGGTCTTGAGTTCAATTCCCAGCAACCACATAGTGACTCACAACCATCTGTAATGAGATCTGGTGCCCTCTTCTGAACATTATATACATAATAAATAAATCTTAGAAAATAAATCTTTAAACAAATTGTAATAACAGTAATAAAATAAAATGATGTCCTATAACAAAATTAAGAGAATGCGTCCCTTTCTACCCTGCTCTTAAAGCTGTTAAAAGAAAAGATGGGGATAAATTCTGAACAAATTTCAATACATTATGGACCATTAAGCTTTCTCACTTCTTTCTCACTTTCTTCTCCAAGGACTAATTTTTATTACTTAAAAAAAAAGAAAGAAAAACTCAGCTGACAAGTTAATTATCTTTTTAGAAATTTAAAAAAAAAAAACAAAAAAAACAAAAAACAAGATATCTAGAAGCTAAGCATCCTTTCCAGTGTCTCATAAATCACCTTCTCCATGTTTGATAATGTGGCTTAATGATGTATGACAAGCTTGACAAGGTGTCGCCACAGGAAGGGTTAGTCAGCAGAGCCAAGAGGGAGGGCTTCTCCATCTTTGTCTTTTTCTTCTCTTTCCTCTCCACCTTTACCCCTCCCTCTTTCCCTCTCCCTTTCTCTTTCTGTTTATTTTACAGAGTTTTATTTCAGACCTCGGTCCAGTGCCAATGGGTTCTTCAGTAGCATCTAAGGCAGAGATGGATGAATGAGAACATAAGGTTGTTTCAGACATAGGTAGTTATTCCATTCAACGACAGAGGGAAAACTGAGAAGAGACCAAATCTGAGGAAATATTCTCAATTCTATTGTCAAATGTTGACTAGGAGCTCTTTGGGAACGAAGTATTTCTATGATTCCAAGCTCACTTGGAATATTATAGGGCCTCCTTAAGTCACAGTTATGAGGGACACGTAAAACTCAGCCACACTTTGCAAATTTGTCAGAAGGTGAACAAGTTAAAACAGAGGGTGCCCTCCTTCCTCCAGCTGTTCTGCCCTAATTATTAACAACAACATTTCAGAGTGTGTTAGTTAAATGTGGCGTATTTTAGAAAAAATAAGCCTGCGGTAATATTGTACTTCCACTGTCAAACTAAGAAATCTTGCCTGCAGGAAACATGTGAGCTAGTGAGGGGAGAATCTGCCTACAAAGAAGGCTGGAGCAAACGGAGCCAGCAAAAGCCACTGGTGTTTATGAATGGTTCATTAGTGACTATCTGAACACAGGGCGAACTCGCATTAAATGATAAGGCTTCCCCATAATTAGCGTGTGCCACACTTTGGGGTTTGTAATTAGAAGAAAGAAGCAGAATAAAAAGAGGAACAGATAAAAGGATGGTTGTTATAAAATAGAAATCCTTTAAAGCCAATTCCGTTTCTTTGTGAAGCAAACAAGAAAGAGGTGTGCAGGAGAGCTGGGAACCCATTCCTCTCTTGATTAGTAACTCAGGCTGCATCACAGTTCCTGGTTTTTTCATCCTAAAAGCAGCAGGAGCCAGGTGAAGCCCTGAAGCCCCAAAGAACACCATCATCAGGACTGAATGTTGGCACTGTTGATGCTTTGGGCAGGAGAGTTCTTTGCTGTGGGAAAATTCATGGCAGGCACCAGCACTGTCTTAGTTTCCAACTGCATATTTCAGCGGCGACTCTTCTTGAACTACGACTAACTAAGAGTGTCCCCAGACTTCGTTGTAACACGTCCACAAGGGTAAAAACTGCATCACATGAGAACTGCTGTGTTGAGTCTAGAATGCCTGAGAACGTCACTGCATAATTGATTGCCGGGAGCTATTTGTTCTAGAGAGTGCTGAGCCAGGGGCGGCAGGAGAGGAGGGTGGGAAGGACCCGCTGCCTGCATCAGTTCAGGAGAGCACTGGGGCTGTCCCCAGAATGCTGTTCTCGTTAAGGAAAGGAAGTGTGGGGTGATCTTAGTCTACCCCTGCTCATGTGGAGAAGCCCTGTGGGGGTGGGGAAGCACGTTCACAAGCCAGCTCAGTTAAAGTTAAATTTTCATAAACCAGTTATGAAGGAAAAGATGGTGGACCCATTTCTGGGCATGCTAAGCTCAAGGTCATAGAGCACATAGTTTACTTAAGGACATTTCTGGGTATGTTCAGTTCAGTGTCACATAGACAGAGGACACAAACAATGGTTCAGTGTCGTAGTGAGAGAGACAAGTTTGCTCTGTGTGCCTAATAGAATGGGCCAGAGTGCCTCCATGAGCTTAGTAATCTTGGCTGGTTTTTTCTTTGTTTTCAAATCCATGTGTCATGTGGCTGTGTGTACAAGTTATCGCATGTGTGTAAATGTACACGAGCATATAGTTACATGTACGCGTATCCATGTTTGTGTAGAGGCCCAAGGTTGACATTGGTTTTGGTCCTCAAATGCTCTTCCCCTTATACACAGAGATAGGGTCTGGCTAGCTCTCCTATGAGCAAGCTTGCTCCGGAGATCTCCATCTCTACCTCCTGCTTGCTGGGATCACAAGTGGACAGCCTGGCTTTTTTCACCAGTTCTGGGCACTCAAATCCCCGTCACCATGCTTGTGTGAAAAGGGTTCTTCCACTGAGCCTCTCAACAGCCCTATAACTGCCTTTCCTGTTTCCAAAAAAAAAAGGTTTACATTGGAAAAAATTAAAAAAGGAAAGGCTACTTACGTGATATTTTAATGGAATAGTTCCGCTCAAAGGTTCCTGGCTCACTGAGTGGCTCAAAATTGGCAATCATTTCAGTCTATTCTCTTAACTCATTGATGGTTTTTAGGGATTGCCCCTGGTGTGCTGTCAAAAAGACTAACCATCTCTGATTTTATGGGGTCATGCTGGTTGGGAGGAGGTTGACAGCAGACAGATTAGAAATTAGCAAATAAGAGAGAAGGACACCACTCCAACGTAAGACAGGAGAGGTAGTGCTCTCTTATTGGAGTTTCTAGGTCAACTGCGGTTACTTTGAAATTCTCTCCGTGGCTCAGTGCTGGGATCAGACCCGCCGATGACTAGGGCTGGCCATGTTCATTGAGGAGGAAAATGAGTGTAAACAGAACTTGCCAGAGCTTTCCGGGTGGAACGGTCCCTGAACGAAGTCTCGCGTGACTTCTGTGGAACCTGTCCTGAAGTGTCCGAGCCTAGATCTTCTTTCTCTCTCTGGCTTACTCCGGCTCTTCCTACCATGTTTGCCTTTTACTGAGCAAGGTGGGCACCCTAGGCCAGCTGTACCGTCCTGATTCTCATTCTGTCTCACAGCAAGGAAACCTCTGCCAATGATGCAGTCCTGGGCCCCACAGCATGGCTCAGCGGGTAAAAGCTCTTTCCACGCAAGCCTGGCAGTCTGGGTTCGATCCCCCGACCTCGCAGTGGAAGGAAAGAGGCGTCACACCCCTCAGCGCTGTCTCCTGACCTTCCTGTGTGTGACATGAGCATATTTGTGTTGTTGTTGTTAAAGTAGCCAATCTCCTTGTGAAAATCCAGCTCATATTTCTTTGTCCCTTTAGCATCGGTGGTGATGTTTGTTCCTTGGTAGTCATCTCCTTTGTTTTCCTTTCTTCCTCTCGCCTCCTTCGCTTGTACTTTCTGTTAAAAGGCTGGCTCCCAGCTTTTAGGGACCGTCAATGTGCTTTCCCCTCTCACTGCAGTGAGGAGGTCTGCTTATAGATAAAGTCAAGCTACACCACTCCTTTCTTCTTAGACGAAGGCCCCTACTGTAAACCGTGCAAGCGGGTGACTGGCTGCTTCTCCACTGAGGGGAGGCTCTGCTCTGACGTTCCGCATGACAAGCACACCCCTGCTTCGGCTCTGCCTCCTGAGCGAGCGTGAGACAAATCACTCTTCCTCCCATAACCCCCTCTCTCCTTGCTTCATTAATGCCCGCAGAGCTGGCAGAAGACAAATGAGTTCTCTGCCTAAGGAAACGGTGGTTTCCAAGGCTGACCTTAGGTGTCTTTGGGAAACGTAGAAGAGTGCAGGAATGAATGCCTTGTGTTGTGTTCCTAGTGCTTCCTGGTGACCATTCCCAAAAACACCCACGAGCTGAAGACCTGGACGCGTGCTCAGGACTTCTGCGCTGCCAGGGGCGGGATGCTGGTCTCCATCGAAAGTGAACTGGAGCAAGGTAGAGTCTGAGGGTTCAGCCAAGCCAGAGTGGCCGCCGTAATTCAAGTCTTAATCAAAACAGCACCCCCAAAATCAGCGCTTAAAACACTGTGTTGCAAAGACGCAGGAAATTTCAGTTTGAGCGTCAGGGTTTAGGCATCTGCGGGAGTCGGCCAGCTGCCTAGACACTGCTGCCATTGGAGGTTTTGTCTGGATGGACTGGAGAGTAAGGACTTTGTGTGTGTTCTAAAATGGCTAGAGTAATTTCTCAGCAGCATCTAGTACAGTTGCATGGTAAGCTTTTTAAAGATCAGCTTGAGTTCACCTGTGTGCTTTAATTAGAAACTTAGGCAATTATATACTTCTGCTTAAATATGGTACATTAATCCTCTTTTGCTTACAAAAAAAGAGTAAACACTGGAAACTGTTTTGCTAATGATCTGATGAAATCTCTGGTTATCTAGCTGACTTCAGTCAATTTAAACTGAAACCAAAATGAAAGACACCTTGTTACCTTAGTAAGAACAAAGTAAGGGATTCCTACAGTTGATTCATAACGAAGCTTTGCTGTCATTTAAATATACTCATCTCTATGGACAGCACCTGATGGTGACCCAGGGCCTTGTATGGTATTACTAACTAACGTGTTTCTATTTTCCAGCTTTCGTTACCATGCATCTCTTCGGCCAGACCATGAATGTGTGGATAGGGTTACAAAGTGATAATTATGAGAATTGGGTGAACGGGAAGCCTGTGGTGTATTCTAACTGGTCTCCGTCGGATATAATAATTGTGAGTTCTAGGAGTAATTGAGGGTAGGGTTTACTGGGGACTGAAACACAGCCTTGTACACTTTAACCATTGTGCTGTGTTCCAAGACCCTTAAGATTTATTTTAACAAGAGATGATATCTGAGACTTAGTAACTAAAATCTCTCTCTTTCTATATTTTGGAGCTATACATTTATAATAGTTCACTGATCCCGTATTACATTTGTAATAATGTAACATTACAACAGTTTCGTGAGTACCATAAACACAATTACTCATCATGATAATTGTTTATCTTAGAGGCTGTGAAGAGGTTCCAGATTGATTTATTAGGTATAAATAAGGAAATAGTATTGTTTTGCTTTTTAAAATTATTCCTTAAATAAAAATTTTCAATGTAACAATAATGTTATATGTTACTGTATATTTTATAACATATGCATTTCTTTAAAGATCCCAAGCTATAACATTACAGTTCAAAAGCATGCTCCTCTCTGTGCCCTGATGTCAAGTAATCCTAATTTTCATTTCACTGGAAAATGGTATTTTGATGACTGTGGGAAAGAAGGTTATGGATTTGTTTGTGAAAAAATGCAAGGTAAGAAACAATTGGGACTTTGTTCCTTTTATTTCCCACCTTCCCTCCACACCTGCAGCTAACAGTGTGAGTTTCTTTCCCTGTGTTTAAGTGTATTTAGCCACGTATCCCCCACTTCTCAGCACCGTGCCCTTCAGCTGTGTTCTAAGGACTGCAGAAGCCATCTGACAGATGACCAAGTTATACACCAACTCTAGAACCAATAAGAGCTTTACTCCTCCGTTCTGGGATTCTCTGCCTGTAATGGTCCATTTTCCCATACGCTAACAAAGTTAGCATTAACACAAAGAAAAGCACTTTCTCTTGGCTTGTGGTTCTGCTCCAGAGCCAACTCGATGGCATCTGCTGATGGCCATCTCCCTGTCATACTTCCAAGATGGCACATTACATAGCGAGAGACTGGCATGAGTGTATTCTGTTCCCAGTTAAAGCCACCAAGATTCAGTCGGGGAACCCCGTGTCCTTACCTCAGCCTAATCATCCTCTGAAGACCCTCTTCCAAACTTCATGGTCAGATTTTTTCTAACCACCTAATACTTTACAATGAGGATTACATTCCAACATATCACGCTTTGCAAAGAACGTTGGTTGACACTAGATCCAAGCATAAACTATTGTGGCTATTTTTACAAGTCACCCAAAATATTGGAAAAGAACAAGAAACTAGACTTAGCGTATTTCTATAACGCCTGCACATGGAAGGCTGAGACAAAAAAAAAAATCTTACCAAGTTCAAGGCCAGCCTGAGACCCTGACTCAAAACAAGAACAGCAAATACCATAAACCAATTCACACTCACTCCTTTTTTTTTCCTGAAGCTCCAAAAATAGTGTTCATGGCTAAATATGGCATGTAGTGTGTTTCTGAATCTGGCAGACACAACTCCCGAGTGATGTTTAGAGTATAATACCAAAGCCATAAGTGATAGCTCCCCTTCCCTGTAACGAAATACCTCAAATAATCAGCTTATAAAGAGAGAAGGCTTATACTGGCATAATGATTTTAAAGGTTCTAGTCGATGATTGATAAGACCCATTGCTTTGGGGCTGGGGCAAAAGCAGAAAATAATGGAGAGACGAGGGGGCAGAACAGAGCCACTCAACTCATGACTGGGAGGCAAGAAGTATGAAAAGGAAGACTCCAGCCCCCCACAGTCCTGTTCAGTCATGCCCACAGTGACGTGAGACCTCCCGGCGGGCCTCACCTCCTAAGTGCTCCATTGGCTCCAGTGGTTCTGGGGGCCACACTTTGGATACCTGGGCCTTTGGAAGACATTTGAGATCCTAACTAAAGTGTCAAAGTGTCACAAACCTCCAGTGGAATGCATGAGCAGTGTCACTGTCCTTGAGTGACCTCGAATAATAAAAATAGTAAAGATGCCTCTTGCTTTCACTCACTCCCTGCTACACGTCCCCGAGCCTGGCACCTTGCCTTGGGTTTATGAGCACTATGCCATAAAACCCTTAGGACCTTGCCAGGAAATAGGTCAAAGTCTCCCCATTCTATACTTAAGGAACTTTAGTCTTTAAAAACAAAAAAAAAAGTATTTCAGTTAAATATAGTGATTCTATTTCTGTAATGTTGACCTCTTTTCACATTTACCAACTGATTGCTTTCTTTGGCATTTGGGGATAAACAACATAGACACTCCTTTGGTGACATTGCAGGGCAGAGGGGGAGAGCACAGGCCTGAGGTCTGGCCACAGACGTGCCCACTCCACCTCTGTAAATACACTTCAGTAAAATGCCTTATCTTCTATGAACCTTGATTTCAGTTTCTATAAAATGAGGTTAAAAACTATTTGATATGCATATACATAACTGAGTATAGTTTGTAGCATACGCTTAACAAATGACAGTTTTTAAAAAACATTTCTGAAAAAAAATTATTAAACTTTGATTCTTGTTACAGTGAACACTCTATACTTTTCCATATAAATATATGCTTGTGTTAGGCTTAAGCCAAAGATTGTTATGCTTTGAAAGAATAAAGAGATGTAAAGAAAGAAAGAAGCAGAGGCCAGGGGAGGTTGCTCAGTAGGTGAAAGAATTTGCTGTACAAGTGTGAGGACCTGAATTTGAATCTCCAGGACCCATGAAAAAGCCTGGCGCCTGGTGTTAAGCCTCTGTGAACCCAGACTCCTTCAGGGAGATGGAGGACAGAGACAGGAGGATCCCACAAAGTTCATAGGCCAGCTAACCTGACAACTCAGCAGAAAAACAACAGAACAGCTCGACTCAAATAAAGAGAGGAACCGATGTTCATGGTTTGTCTTCCAGCCCCCACATGCGTGCCATGCGCACACAGGCTTGCATTCACATGTACTTATGCAAAATAGTGCTTTGGTACCGTCTGGATTTTGTGTAACTAACCATGAGCTGGGAGCACAGACTGGCGAGCAGGCTTCCGGCAAAGAACATACTGGTGACAAAGTGCACTCACTCCATTACTATTTAACTGATAAACAGGCTCGTTTCACTTAGGTTTTACAACATGTGCTTTCTAAGTCAAGGAACAAAGACAATAGACAGCTTTCCAATTTGCCATTTTTTTTATTTGTGGAGAACATGACCAAAACAGGAGAGGGAAGTGAAGAACAATATTTGTTAAGTGTTTGATGTGTCCTAGATGAAATAGAGTGTGTCCTTGTGGATATGTGATGAATTCTACACACACTCCTTCAAGGAAGACCTTACCGGTTTCTTATAGACCTCAGATTTGAGCTTTAGGCAGCTTAGTTTTCTCAAGGTGTTTTAGCCAGGAATGGCTAAGTCCGTGCCTTCAGCCATTCTCATCTCAGCATTCCCCTTAATAAGTCCAAACCGCTTACTGGTTTTAATTTTTAGCCTAGTATGCAAGAGAGATTCAATTCACTCGAGATCAGATAGTGCAGAAATTTTTACTTTGTTTTCCTGTTTCAGTTTTTCTAAACTCCGGCTATTCTGTGGATATAACACAGAGAATTTTAAAAAAGACAAATGCATATATATTAAAGAGAATGTACTTATAGATACACAGAGGGTGGACAGAGGGAGAGTGTGTGTTAACTGGAAGTGGCTTTTTAAACCTCAAAGCCAAAGCCCACTCCCAATGTCACACCTCCTCCAACAAGCCACACCTCCTAATCCTTCTCCAACAGTCCACCAACCTAGGCCCAAACATTCAAACCACCAAAGTGTCCCAGTTCCCTAGCACCGTACACACACTTCCAAGTGCAGTGTTGTTATTCTGAATTCATCGCTTCTGGAAGAAAAACTGGTCAGTGTCGACGTTAGTGACAAAGATGCGTGTTAAGTTTGACCTCCTCCTTTCTAGTCCAGGCACTACAAGCAATTTTGTTCTTGTTTTCATTTTAGATACTCCTGAATACCATGTAAATGTGTCTGATATGTACTCAATCCCCAGTACATTAGAATATGGAAACAGAACATATAAGATAATTCGTGCTAACATGACTTGGTACGCAGCGGGAAGAACCTGCCTGATGTACAGAGCAGAGCTGGCCAGCATTCCAGACATATTTCACCAGTCCTTCCTCACGGTTGTACTCAGCAGGCTGGGGCATGCCCATTGGATTGGACTTTCCACCAAAGACGTAGGTATTCTCTGCCCCTCCCATAGTCTTTGCAAAGTCTCTGTCTACTTCCTTAGTGAGACAACCATTGAAATCCGCATGCAAAAGCAACTCTCAGACTCAGTAGTAAATCTAACATTTCAATAATTGGTTTATACAGAAACAACTGGTTTTTTGCTTGTTTGTTTTGTTATTTGCTTTTGTTTTTTAGAAGCCCGAGGCTACAAAACAAGAGTGCACATCTTTTTAGGACAAGCATGCACTTGCCTGATTCCTAAATATAATGCCCTCATGGGTCCTTTGGAAATTCTCAGACATCCCTGAGGACTGGACTCATTCATACAATATAACTTATCTCAAAACTCAAGTACCATGTTTGGGCAATTTGTTATATTTCCAGAAATTTCTGTGAAAAATGATTGCTGCTGATAGCTCAGAGACTTTATTATTAATTAATTCACTACCTTTGAAATATAACGTGCAGAGTTCTAGTTGTGTGCTTTTGATTTTTGGTTTTGTCTTCTGTTTATTCTTTTGCTTTTTAAAACAAGAGTATTACACACTTGCATTGCTGAAGAGAAAACCCTACTCCTTCCACCCCCTGTGGTTCTGGAAAACAGTATCAAACCTGGAAGGAGTGGATGCTCGGATAGCCCTGGGTGAACCCAGCAGCAGCATTGGCAACGAAGTGACATTTCATATCCTCTCTGCAGAATGGTCTCAATTTCGACTGGTCAGATGGCACCAAATCCCCTTTCACCTATTGGAAAGATGAGGAGTCAGCCTTTCTTGGTGATTGTGTTTTTGCTGACACTGGTGGACGCTGGCATAGCACGGCCTGTGAGTCATTTCTGCAAGGAGCCATTTGCCATGTACCCACTGGTAGGTACAATTCCATCCAACTCAAGGAATGCATCCTCTGCTGCTATTCTGTTCATGATTGTGCTCAGCAAGGAAAACGAACGTGAAAAACAAGAAGTCTCGGTTCTGGGGAAGCCTACAGTCTGGTCTGTGGTGTAAGGACCATACCTGTCATGCCAGGCATGGCTAGACGATGAGTGAAGAGAGGGATTATCAAGAACAGGATGCACTGTGTTCTGATACTGCCCTCCCCAACACTGTCTGCAGTGTAGGAAATAATTTTTTTGTTGTTACATTTTAAAAAGCATCCTATCTATTTGGGGGAAAGGCAGAAGGCTTCTTGAAGGACATGGCAATGCATGCAGGTGGGAACTGAAGAATGGGCAGGAGTGATGGGCAACGACAGAGCATAGGGAAGCATGCAGAGGAGAGAAGCCTGGACGGACACGGAGATACAGGATGGGGGATACAGACGGCACCGCTGGTGTTGAGTTTGCCAGCATGGCAGGTTAGGATAAGAGGAGACAGAAAGTCACACTGGAAAGGTGTGCTCGACTTCATGGAGAATCTGAACTGATGGTTTGTTTAAGACAAGGCTAGTAGATTCTTAAGCAACGATTATGGTGGTGGTAGCTGATGCTGTTCAGACATTCATTATATTCCCTACCCGATACATTGGATAACATCGTATTTACATGAAGGTCAGCTGGCTCAATCCCTTTACTAAAGCATGAAACTTAACCAAGAGCATTAAATAGACTCTTGGGAATCCATGTGTCCACAGGCCAAGAACAGAGGCTCAGCCTTCTTACCCTCTGATGTGGTGTGTATCCTGCTTTTCCTAGCACTCTGCTTTGTTGCTCTGACAGTCCCCCCCCCATCTCCTTTTAAATCTCTCATTTCATCAAACTGAGTTATTTACTTGTAATCTAGATACTATTACAAATAGCACACATACTTTGCATAATTGCAGATGAAAACAATTCAGGATTAAATATAAGCGATGTCTATATTCATGTATACACAAGTGAGGATTATAGAAATCTGACAGCCCTGCCTAGGACAGGTATTTTACCTTTAGGCATTCCTTTCCCGTTATCATTCGGCTACCACTTCCTCCATGAATTGCACCTTCCTGATTTCCTAAAAGCTTTAAGATAACGAACGGTACAGGGCTTCACCAGGCTGCATTCAAAGTACCGTGGCAAAGCAGGCTTTTTATACACTCTTCATGTTTGAGTATTTCTAACAGAAATTCAAGAGCCTAACTCTAATCATCGACATCCACTCCAGCCTTTTGGGGTACTATCGTGAAAATCTTAATGCGTGCATTGATTCTGGCCTTCCATGGAAAAGTGAAATTAGGTTTATCTCGGCATCGCCAGCCCGAAATCACACCTGGTTTTTCTTCGTAGAGACAAAGGCATCTGAGCACCCAGTGCTGTGCTCAGAGACATCAGTTCCCTGGATAAAATTTAGAGGTAATTGCTACAGCTTTTCCACCATCCTGGACAGCAGGAGTTTTGAAGATGCTCATGAATTTTGCAAAAGAGAAGGTAATTCTTCTACGGTGCAAAATCGCTTTCACATACCCCCTGACATCTCCGTAAACAGTGTGTGTTCTCAGATGCCAACTACCCGGTAACTTTAGGAACCATGAGAATTACTGAAAAAAATAAACACTATGGAATTTGTTTATTAGGGGGACAGATGTTTCAGGCAATTCAAGTTCCAGTGCAGACTTTGAAAACCCAAGATGGTGCCTCAGTGTCCAGCTTTCCCACAAAAATTCTTCCTTCTGAAGCAGTGTGCATTATGCATTTTTAGTGTTGTCTAAACCGGATCATGGCTGTTTTAACTTTCTAAATGAAAGCTTGTACATTTTTATATACACAGTTTTACCTTAAAAGTCTTAAATCACATTTTAGGGAGGGACAGTACACAGGCCTTTAATCTTGGTGCCCAGGGGGCGGAGAGAGTAAGGGCAACCTGGTCTACATAGTCAGTTCCAAGCCAACCAGGGCTACATAGTAAGACCTAGTTTTGTTTTGTTTTTAATCACTTTAAATTGTGTGTGTGTGTGAGAGAGAGAGACAGAGACAGAGAGACGAGACAGAGTTGATATCAGGTGTCTTCCTCAACCACTCCGTGTCTCGGACATGGTCTCTCACTGACCTAGGCCAGCAAGCCCCAGCACCGTCTCCCTAGCCCTCCACTTTTCCTGAGTCCTGAGGATTCACACCAGGGTCCTGGTGTTCATGCAGCAGGCATTTTACCAACTGAGCTGTGTCCCCATTCTACTCAACCACTTTTTAACACTAGAAAATGGAGTTTGGGGCTACGCTCAGCAGTAGAGCCTTGCCCAACATGGCAAGTGTTGGGTTCTAGCCCCAGCACCAGAAAAGAGGGAAAAAGTGTATCGAGTGATGAAATATCTATTTTTCAAAGCCAAGGTTTTGCAAATAGAGGCACAGAAACATTTGGAATTGTGTTTGCCTCGCTCACTGGCTACTTGTCTCTCTTACAGGGTCTGATCTTCTGGCGATCAAAGATGAGGCTGAGAATTCATTTCTCCTGGAAGAGCTTCTTGCTTACGGCTCTTCTGTCCAGATGGTGTGGCTGAATGCTCGATTTGATGGTAACAGTAAGTGATGGGGGTTTGGAGGAGGCACAAATTAGTACGCAGTCACTGGGGCCTCGGGGAGCCACACGTTTGCTGTGAAAATGCAGTGTGAATCCTCTAGGAGCCCCTCCCAAACAAAGCAAAACAACGACTCAACCTCCATGACACTGAAGATGCTTGCAGCAACTCTGTTCCCAGGCCGTCGCGGCAAAGCCAGACCACATTGACCTGAAAACAACCCACTTTCTGAAGCGCTGCAGAGCACAACCGAATCAGAGAGCTGTTTCCGTGATAAGCTGTGCTTTTTGAATTCTCGTATGCTATTCGTAAACACCAGTGTGTGTAATTTCCTTTCTTTATGTCACTGATATTACTGAGAAGCACTTGTAAAGAAAATTATTTTAATTGTCACGGAGAGAGTGTTATGTTGGTGTAGGAGGGCAGGTACAGAGCCCATCCTTGAGAGGAGTAATTTTAATCCTGGGCGTTGAATTTCTAGCAGATGGTGATAATCAAAAGCTAGCTGACCTGTGGTTCACTTTATTGCTAGTTTTAAATTATTTTCAGACAATGCACCACAAACACACATACACCTTACTGACCATATATGGGTCGAGCGTTTCCCTGGAACCACTTCCGGTATAATAATGACTTTAGGAAATGAGTCCCCTTGTTACGGTGTTGATATTAGAGATTTAATGGGTTTTCTATACATTAACTTTGTTTACTATGTGATGTATTTAGCTGGTTAGAAATTTGTAGACTGTCTCAAAATTCAAACCAGGACATTAAGAAACAAGATATTTATATCTAAATGACACAACTGCCCAGGAGCCAACTCTAATGAACACATACCTTTTTCTGTTTGCTTGCTTTTGTTTTTGTTTCTTCCAGACAGGGTTTCTTTGTGTAGCCCTGCCTATCCTGGAACTTGCTCTGTAGGCTAGACTCTCCTCAAACTCAGAGTTCTGCCTCCCAAATGCCTGGCTTGATACATAGTTTTTTTTTGATGTTTTGTTCAAGAATATACTTATGGAATTAAATGTGTCTCCTTAAATGTGGGGCTGCTCTTATGGCTTATCCCAGTCTGACTCTGGTAATCATGCACATGATTCGTAATAAGCCAGCAATCTTTTCCACAGATGAAACCTTACAGTGGTTTGATGGAACACCCACAGACCCATCAAACTGGGGCATTCGGACACCAGACTTGGACCACCTCAAGCCCCGTCCCTGTGTTGCCTTGAGGATCCCTGAAGGCGTATGGCAGTTTACCCCCTGTGAAGACAAGACGGGGTTCATATGTAAAATGGAGGCAGGTGTGTAAAGGGAGAGACAACGCCTTCATATTGACTCTTCCCTGCTTAATGCTGACCTGCCATGGTGACATTGAAAGAATTGTAAATGCAGATGTTTGGAGGGTTTTTCAGATAGATTCTGGCATGAGTCAGAACATTTCAGCTCCTCTTTTCCTCTAATATGAAGGGGGAAAAAAAAAAACATTAGTCATACAAATGAAATCAAGACACGCAGTTTGCACCAAAAAGAGCTATGCTGTGCTGTGAGAATGTTTAGGGTTGTCATTTGGTGCATTTGTTGTGGTTAAGTAGGTGTAATTCTCTCTGCGAGCGTGTTCCACCAGGAAAGTCATATGTGACTAATCCTGAGAAATACAGTTTATAGTGATGGAAATTAGGTTTTGAAAGCTAAGAACATTCCAGACATTTGCAAACAACAGCCAAAGTTTCTAAGCTAGCCTAACATGAGGACCATAGGTGTTTACACTAATCCAGACAGTCCCTAGATGCACATTTTAGCAAGAAGGAAGGCTCTTGTGCCTCTGAGCTGCTGGAGAATGCTTCAGAGAGATGAGAGTCCTGGTTTTGAAGAAGGAGGGGAGTTTAGGAGCTGGACCAGAGAAGGGAAGATATTTTAGATCAAAGGATCAACATTGCTAAAAGCAGCCATGGCGAATGTGCTAAACTGAAGCAGAAGACATGGTGGGAGTAGAATTGGCCAGTGAGGCCGGATCCAGTGCTGTGCTAAAGAGCCAGGCTTCCTGGTGGAGCAAGGGTTACACAGTGTGCCCAGGTAGTCACTGTCATTTAAGCACCAGGAGCAAACCACAAACACCGTACACCAATTTTAAAGTACTGTAGCTTTTCAAGGAGCTGCTCAAACATACCCAGCTTTTGGGGGAGAAAGTGCCTGTGCAACAGGCTGCACTGACAATCAGATGTTGATCCTTCCTTCCTTCCTTCCTTCCTTCCTTCCTTCCTTCCTTCCTTCCTTCCTTCCTTCCTCTCTCTCTCTCTTTCTTCTGCTCTCTCTCTTTCTCTTTTTCTTTCTAATGTAGCTTCCTGAGGTACAGTCTTGCTCTGCTGCCCAGCCTATTCTGGAGCTCCCTCTGAAGTCCAGACTGACCTCAGACTCCCAGCGATCCTCCCAGTCCCGCCTTGCAGGCGCCTCTACATCTACATCTGGACCCTTCCTAGACCAAACACTGCAGAGCTTAGGCCCTGAGACAGTCTTCTTAAATGAGAAATGTTCCTACAGAAAAATGTTTTTATTAAAACAGGGACTCTCTCTGTCACTTTGGAATAGAGGGTCTGTGTATTCATCTCCCACTCTTGAGACTCACAGGTATGAATGGTGCTGACTGAACAGTTGTCACATACAGACAAGCAGGGACTCTCCATCAAATCCCAACAAAATGGTGACTTGCTGTAAGCAAGGACCATGTCTACCATATGTTTCTGTTGTGATAGTGTAAGACAAGATGGAAAACTTTTGGCTTTAGTAAAAAGGAAGGAAGGAAGGAAGGAAGGAAGGAAGGAAGGAAGGAAGGAAGGAAGGAAGGAAGGAAGGAAGGAAGGAAGGAAAAGGGCCATGTGTTATGAACATCAATACTTTTCACTACAAATGGCTCATGAGCTGGCAATAACTAGTAAAGGCATTTGCTGCCAACCCTGGATCCAAATTCTGGAACCCACATGGTAAAAGGAATGAGAGTGATTCCCACAAGTTGTTATCAGACACACACACACAGAGAGAGAGAGAGAGAGAGAGAGAGAGAGAGAGAGAGAGAGTATATAAATGAATGAATAGCAGAGCTCCAGTCAAACATTACTCATAAAAACAGGCCACCAGACTTGATGTATGAGCAATAGTTTGATTCCTTAATAGTTAATTACTTAACATTTTAAGTAATGACATGACTTTGCTGAATTTAAAGAAATATTTGTTTATTATTTGATTTTAGATCTTCCAGCTGTAATGAATCATCCAGGGAAAGGTAGGCTTAAAAGAAGAAAGAATGCTAGATTTTTCTTAGAATCAGTAAGATGTACGGCAGGTGTGTGACAGTATCTATTCTCTCTTTGTCTTTGTCTTTCTCCAGGACTGAGCCACAGCACCGTTCCTCTCATAGTCACAGCGACGCTGGTAACATCCCTGGCCGTTTGCGTGCTTTCCTTCTGGATATACAAGCGGAACAATGACTTTTTCCGGAGACTCACAGGGCCTAGGCGTCTTTACTATCCTACACTCAGCTTCAGCACGGCACATTTAGAAGAAAACATTCTCATTTCTGATCTCGAGAAGAATAGCCAATGATGACAAGGCGAGGAATTTTCCAGCTATGAAGAACAAAGGAGGCCATGAAGGGAGTCCTGTCTGCATTTCCCCTTAACAAGATGCCATTATAATATGAATTGTGCTTTGTTTTAATTATTCTTCAAGCACTGGTTCTGAATTTTAACCAAATCAGATTCAGTTTAATGTATTCACTTCCTTTAACTGTGGCCCATTCTGAAAAGGGGCATTGGTTATTATTTAAAAAAAAAAAAAAAACAACTATTAAAAAGACTCCTGCATTAAGAACTCTCAAGCCAGTCTCCCATGCATTCAGACATGTAAGCTCACCCAACACGTTAAAAGAGGATGGGGAAGGCCCTCCCTCTGACTGCTTAGGAGAGGAAGGTGCTTCTGCAAATCAGTGTCTTTTTTTATTCTAACTCAGTTATTTTCAAATAGCCTGGTTTGGGAGAGTCCTAAATTTTAACCTTCAGGATCTGGTCTCTCAATTAATACTCTAGATGACCTTAATTTTTATTAGGTCTGATTCTCAAGCTAAACAAGAGAAACATCACCTATTCCTAAATATGAAGATCTCAGCAGGCTGGCACTCTTAAGAACAACCATGCAGTTCAAAATGTGTCATAAACTGTCACTTGTTAAGCAACTGGCATGATTTAAAAGTATCTTTTTGGGTAAGTTCAAAGGAACACATTGAGAGCTAATATTGTTAAAATACATGGACCTTATTAAAAATGAAAGTAATAGAATATAATAACTTTTTTGTTTTGTTTTATTTTGTTTTGTTTTGCTTGTTTTTTCAAGACAAGATTTCTCTGTGTAACAGTCCTGGCTGCTCTGGAACTCACTTTGTAGACCAGGCTGACCTCGAACTCACAGAGATCTGCCTGTCTCTGCCTCCCAAGTGCTGGGATTAAAGACAATATGCCACCACCACTGGAGAATATATAATAATCTTAACCAGGACTTACAGAATATATGTAATTTAAACGTAAAGAAAAAAAAATGAAGATCTGAATTACGCTCCCATCAGAACCAAACTAGAGGGAACGTTGAGAAATAGGAAGTGAAGTGACTGCAGTGATAATCCAGACAACGTTCGGCATGTGTTCACTTAGGTGTTTTAAAATAACCAGTTCCTACCATCTCTTTTTCCTGTGGGACTAGTTGGTGCCACTGGCTGGTTGATAAGAATTAAAGGTATGCTCTTTGGGGCTGGGAGGTAGCTCAGCTGATCGAGTGCCTGCTGTGCTATCATGAGAGCCGGAGTTCAGCTCCCAGCCCCTCCAGAAAGGCCAGGTGCAGTGTCACGCCTGTAACCCCAGTTCTGGGATGGGGGTGGGACCAGGTGAATCCCGGAAGCTCATTTACCAGCCAGCCTAGCCAAGGTGATGAATTTCAGGTCCAGTGACAAACTTCGTCTAACGGCGACCTCTGGCTTCTCCATACCCACACAGATGTATGTACAGGAACATACACACACACACACACACACACACACACATTAAAAATTTAAAGTACGTTTTCTGTACAGTGGAAAGCCACAGCTTTGATATTCCTTCCTTTGATTTCCGATGGATAAAAGTGGTTCCATAATCATTACTGAAAAGTTATTCATCACATAAGTGTTTACTGAGTGTTGTGTTAAGACAGATGTTCTGTTCTAGAGTCGGCCCCGGGGGGTAAGCAAGCCAAGGAGGTCACTATGCTCGCTGCACTTTATCCCAGGAAAGCATCCTCCACACCGAAGACAGCAGGTGGCTGTGAACATTGAGGACAGTCTCTGATGGGGAGTCGGGAGGCTTGCCTCAGTGTGCGGTTCAGCCAGCATGCATCAACCGCCCTGGTGCTGGTGGCCACGAGGGGGAGCTCTGAGAGAAAGTATGAATGTGTCCCCACACACCAAACTGGGATCATTACCAAACAACTGAAGACTAGAGTCCTTGGGGACTGGCACCGTGCACAGAGTGCCCGTCGCTACTGTTATGCAGCTCACGCACTGGACACTCTACTTTCATTTTTTTCCCCTAAGTCTTAAGACTTCACTTAAAAGAAGAAAACATTATATTCTGTGGCAGTTGTACAGTTATGACTCAGAAGAATAATTGGCTTGAACTAACCAGAAGGCATAAAAACTCAATTTAAAAATCTATCAAGCAAAATTAAAATTCCCTTCATTTCAGTGGATTTGATGAAGCTGTAATCAATTAACCTCCCAGTAAAAGCATACAGTCACACATAGCGAAAGCATGTCATTGCAAACGCAGTTTTGCTGAAAGAGATGACATGGCTTGTCAGTGCTCTGTGTTTTGATATTTAGTATTAAACCTTATCTCTAGAGCCTGTCTCCATTAACAGTTTATGCACTCATTTCCATTGTGGGACCACTAAAAATTAAAATATGTATATATGTAAATTTTTTTTCCTGTGACTGACCTGAGTATCTTTCCAGACTCCCAAGATTTGAAAGTCTTGGATTTTTTTCTTAATAATATTTGAGTCCTTCCCATTCTAACAGCTTTCCTTCAGGTTAATTTGTGACTCCTCTCACTGGACGCTCCACACTTGAATGATCTCTTTAGAAGAATGGTTTGGGGCTGGAGAGATGGCTCAGTGGTTAAGGGCACTGGCTGCTCTTCCAGAGGTCCTGAGTTCATTTCCCAGCAAACACATGGTGGCTCACAGCCATCTATTATGAGATCTGGTGCCCTCTTCTGGTGTGCAGGTGTGCAAAACATTGTGTACATAAATAAATCTTTTAAAAAAAAAAAGTAGAAGAACAGTTAATGTTGAAATCTCTTTACCTCTTTGAAATGGCCAAATTCATATATGGTTAACTTCTAAACATCCAGGACAAACAACAGTCACAGGAGTGACATCTATAATTACCTTTACATTGTGGCTAGATCCATTTAAAGTCAGTCTTTAAGTAGTGAGCTGATACTGGAGTGGATTAGAAGTGGAAATGAATCTGGACTGCTCGTCATGCCACGAATTCATATATTAACTCACGTGAACGTTTTTCAGTTGGACACCTTCGTAGCGTCAAGTGTTCCATGACCAACATAATTAACCTGTAGTGTACTGTTCAGAATTTTAGGCATAGAAATAACAGCAAACATTCTAGAAAACTAAAGGGCTATGGACTTAGATGCTGATGGTTCTCTTAGCCGCAGCATAATTCTGAGGGTCTTGGAGGGTGTTTTACAAGACTGCATTACATTTGTAATTTTGTCTTGCAATTCAACATACAATAACTAAAAACTCAGACTTATTAATTCCTCATGTTGTGAAGCACCGTTGCCGTATGTGGTTTTACAGAATCGGCTAAAATATAAAAAAATAAATAAAAACAACTCAGGCTCAAGAAATACTGTAAGCATACTTGTAAACAAAGATGTAGAAAGTGTGTTTCATTTCCTGAGTCCATCTCATTATCGTTACTGCATTTTCACTGTTTTTAAAGAAGAATCAACCAAAGGACCCAAACATGAAGTGCTGGGTCAAGAAGTGGAAATCTGCACACGTCTCTAATTCCCGATGATGAATTCTAACTGCAGAAGAGAATATCTCACTAACGCCACGAATCGGCCCCATGCACGCCGGTGACCTTCTCTGCTCAGCGTTAATTAACATGGGTACTTGCTTCTTGCAGAGCACTTTACTGTAATTTAGAACAAATTAAGGGAAAAAAATCACTCAAGTGCTGTTTTTCTTCACACCATGAAGTGAGCGTGATGGGCCAAATTTAATGCATTTCAAATAGTCTCATCCATTTCTTGTAACGGTGAACAGCAATACATACCAATATCTCTTTTTTAAAAGTATCCCAGTCTGTGCTGTTTTTTAATGATTCCTATTAATAAACACTGAGTTTGAGAATTAGTAAGTGTCTTCTTCCGCTGTCCCCACTAAGTCTCTCATTTACACTGTATGCGCTCCTGGATATTTTTAAATAGATGGCTCCTAAATTTAACATGACAAACAAAGAGCCATTTTTATTATTATCGGTTCTAAATGGTGGCTTGTGCCTTATCTGGAGCGTCTCTCCTTGAGTCACACACCTCATGAGGTCCTGTCCTCAGCGGCTGTGTGAACTTTAGCTTTTTAGTAGAGCAGGGCTTCGTGGGAGCTGAAAAGCTAAATCATGAACATGAATTAGCGCTCTTAATTAAGTAATCAATTAGTTAATGATTAGCCCTCGTCCCAGGAGACCTGTAACTTGCCAGGGGAGGTATGGAAAAACCAGGAAAGGTTTGTAGAAAGGAGGGTGGAGTCAGCAGGAAGTAAGCTCTGGATACAAGAGGCGCTGCTACGGGGCTGGGGAGAAACGGTTGGCTACCGAGCAAGCCATGATACTGGCAGTGTTTACTCACCATTGGGAGTGCTTGAGCAAGATGGCATACAGAGGAAGAAGATGGCATATTCATGGTAAGTTAGCATTACGGTCTAATGATAACTGTGTCTGCTATCAAATCGAGTCTTATGGATGGCAGCCCCTGAACTTATCACATCGACACTACTCATATTGCAGTTGTGTCCTGACTCAGTTGGGACCTCAAAGAACATTCTTCTAAATCAGTTACAAAAAGGGGGTTGTGACAATTGATGGATACCCTCTTAGCTTACCAACGTATTTTCCATTAACACATACCCAGATGTATTCACCCAGCTTTTGGTGTAAGGACAGCACGGCTCATTGTACTATTTCTTTTTTTTTTTTTTTTTTTTTTTTTTTTGTAGTTGGTCCAATCAGGTTTTGTCCACAGTGCCTGTTTTACTGTCACTGGCAGCTGAAAATTTGCTGAGGCCTCTAGACCAGTTTGAGTACACGTGTTAAATTCCTGCAATGTTCCCCCATGTCTGAGATTCTCTTGCTCAATAACAGAAAGGTTAGATGTTCACGTTTTTAAATCTTCGAGACACTGTCAGTTTAGTTTTATAAAGGAGCTCTCATTGCCCTGTTTTGCATTGCAGGAGAAATCACGTGTAGTTTGCAGTATCTGGTACATCTGGTATGCGTGGGTTGTGGTACATACAGAAGTTTTGGCTGACTGAATAGGCTAGTTAAATTGTTAGCTTCTGGGGCTCTTAGTGTGTGAGGCTTTACTATAGATACCGGGAGGAGACTTGGCTTCAGGAATGAACTCTGAAATCTTCGGTCTGAATGTAAACAAGCCAGAGGACAGCACCGAGCTACCTGTCCAGCTGGTTACTTGATGAAACACGTCTGAAGAGGGAAGCGGGGAAAACACTGAGGCAGCAGATGCCACCTCGGAGGAAGCAAGCCCAGACAAGGCATCCTGAGCAGCCCTGGCTCGGGGACCAGGGCTTCTGAAGGAAGGCTCCTTGTGGTGTTTTGGATTTCAGTTCTGTAAGGACGTCTTCTGGTGAAATGGATGATTTATCAGGCTATCTTTCCTTCTGCCATGAGCATAATGACTTCATTTGTTCTATTTTCTTGCTCATTAGAGTCCCTAGTTAGAATCTGATCCCCAGGATGGGTTTGCCTAATACTCAGAAAATGTGTTCTCACAGATTTTGATTCTTAGGGGCCTAGAAAAGTGATTATCTTTACAAAAACAACAACAAAAACTCACAAGGGCTCATGGTTGCAGTTAAATCTCCATGCAGCTTAAACGGAGGTTTTGATTATGTAGATATTCTGGTCTTAAATGTCTGTCTGCGTGCGCGCGCGCGTGTGTGTGTGTGTGTGCGTGTGTGTGTGTGTGTGTGTGTGTGTGTGTGTGTGTGTGTGTGTGTG